TTAAGTTAGAAACATAACCATCTGGAAGCTTAAGGTTTTTAACCCATTCACATACAGCTATTCGTTGTTGTTTGGTTAATGTATATTGTGCCTTTGGTTTTACAAAGTTACCATTCCTACCAGGTTGAAGCTCAAGTCCCCTACGATTGCAATGTTTTTTCAAGTCCCTCCTAGAGTTTAAAGTATATTTTGTCTTACCTTTGGTGTCCATTACAGTGAACAAAATATTAAGAAACACATTTCTCTCAATGTGCATTACATCAAGATTGTGTGGGAGAAGATGAGTTTTCCAATATGGAAGTTCCCAAAATATACTTCGTTTTGTCCAATGATGATTTATCCCATAGCCTGGTGGTTTACATTCTTCGGATTCTTCCACACTAGGAAATTTTCTAACTTTTCCCACACCTCTAGACCACTCAACCTTTGCGGAGGCATTGACATCTCAACTCTACCTTTTGTAAATGCAGTCATATTCCTTCTATACGGGTGATTTAGTGGTAAGAATTGTCGATGACAATCAAACCATGAGGTTTTTTTACTGGATTCGAGGGTGAATGCCTTAGAATTATTCATGCAAATTGGGCATGCTAGTTTTCCCATCGTCATCCAACCACTTAACATACCATAGGCTGGAAAGTCATTAATAGTCCACATTACTGCAGCCTTCATCAAAAATTTTTGCTTCAAGGAAACATCATAAGTTATAACTCCATCGTCCCATAACATTTTCAATTCATCTATCAAAGGGCGTAAATACACATCAATATTCCTCTTTGGATTGGATGGGCCAGGAATTATAATGTTTAAGAACATAAACTTCCTTCTCATGCACATCCAAGGTGGCAAATTATATGGAGTAATAATCACAGGCCAACAAGAATAAAGCTTGCCTGTTTTGTCGAATGGAGCAAAGCCATCTGAGCACAAGCCTAATCTAACATTTCGAGGATCTCGAGCAAAGTCATGTCATGTTTCATCAAAGTGCTTCCAAGCTTTTGCATCTGACGGATGAGACAATGAACCATTCTCCCTTTGATTCTCATGATGCCATCTCATTTCACGAGCTGTTTGTAATGAATAATATAAACATTGTAGTCGTGGAACAAGTGGGAAGTACCACATATGTTTCCGTGGAACTAATTTATCATGCCCCCGTCTTTTAATATGCTTGTATCGCTCCTCTCCACATATTTTACACTTTTGGAGTGTGTTGTCCTCATTATAATACAACATACATCCTTTCACACAACATTCAATTTTTAAACTTGCCAACCGTAGTTCAACAATCGATTTTCTTGCTTGATAAAAACTTTTAGGCGTACAGTTTATAGGCATAAAAGAGTAAAATTGTGGTGTGGTGTGGTTTAGTTGTTGCAAGTTAAGCAAACTTGATACTAATGTGTTGCCTGATCCAACTATGTATAGATCAACACTAAAATCCTAACTTAAACAACTTGACCATCCTAATTAAACATAAACTATGGAACTAACTCTCAGTTTAATTTTTGTAGAACTCAAAATCTATTTGAAAACTATTCAACAAAATGCTTCAAAATCTATAAGAAAATTATTCAACAAAAGCCTTTTTGAAAAGAGATTACAACCAAATATATTTTAATTTTAATTTTATCTCTATCAAAATGTTCTTGGTGCACAAAAAATCATAATAGACAAAATATAAATATATGCAAAATATAACTATCTTAATCATATTCATTGATTATATTGTAAAAATATAATACTTATAATGATTATATTGTAAAAATAAATTCTTATAATATAAACTATTTAAGTCATGACTAGATGAAGTTTTTTATTCAACAAAGATGAATAACTGACTGGTAGAAAGAATTTGACAGCAGTAACTTTCAACATGTTTACAATTATATGACAAAGAGTTGATTATATATATATATATATATATATATATATATATATATATATATATATATATATATATATATATATATATATATATATATATATATATATATATATATATATATATATATATATATATATATATATATATATATATATATATATATATATATATATATATATATATATATATATATATATATATATATATATATATATATATATATATATATATATATATATATATATATATATATATATATATATATATATATATATATATATATATATATATATATATATATATATATATATATGTAGGCTCTTTAAGTTCACTTGCCGAAGCTTGATTTATTGAAAGGCAAGGTAGCATTTATAAGCAATCAGACTTCCAGAAATTACAAAATTCCTTACAACAAATACCAATTCACTATAAAATACATCTCTCTGTGCTTTTGCAGCATGGCACTCTAGAAACAATCTTGACAAAAAAGCAAAGAGAAAAAAACATAGTTTAACCTTTATATATTAATACAAAGCAGACCAAGAGTCGGATATTTGCCAGAACTTGAGATGTAGACCAAGAGCCGAATCCTCTAAAGGAAATTTGAATTTTTCATCAAATCAAAGTAATGATCGAGTAAACACTAGCCAAAGTGAAGATTTTATCTGAGGCCAACTACTGATTTTAGCAGTAACTTCCAGTGCCTTTTTGCTAAAGAGTTTCAATTATATGACAAAGAGTTGAGAAGGTCTTTAGATGATTTAAAATTATATGAAAGAGTTTCAATTACACCCATGTATCCTTCAAAAAGAGTGAGAAGTTTTGCTAATGTAAAATGAAGTTTGTGATTTAGGTACCTCACGAGTCACGACTCTTTCAACAGTAGGTCAATTCTCTTTACTATGTGTACTTGTAAACATGTATAATAATCCTACAATATAGGCAATTTCAAATCTAGTACACCCAATGACATACCTAAAACTACTAATGATGCTCACATGTTCATCTTATCTTTCATTTTCAGCAATGGTTTTAAAGAATTTAACACTTAAATTTTATGGTGGCCATTCTTGAATTAATATGGCCATTAAGAAAATCTTGAGTTAAGGTATTCAAGAAGGAAAACAACAAAACCTCTAATCAAGAAGGAAAACAAATATAGGGGATCCAAAATTATAAGTCACATTTTCACCTAAACACAGCCTAAAACGTCGGCAAATTGGAACTGCCGGCGCCGTTGTCAAAACAGCAAATCCACTCAAAATCCAGAGGAAAACAAATAAATTTATAAATTCATACCTATAATGTTATTACTCCTAAAAAATGTCTTTCTTCTTGTTCTTCTTGTTAGATGAAAGAGGAGAGTTTCCAAACATAATGGTTTGTCCTAAAAGAGAAATATGGTAGGTTGAGAATTTGGTAATTTTGATGAAGTTGCAGGAGCAGTAATAGTTGCAGGCGGTGTTGGCGGTGTTGAAGATGAAGCCTTCGATTGAACACTATAGAAAAGAGAAAACAAGAAAAAAGGAGAAATGAAAAGCTAGCTTGAGAAAACTATTGAGTAAAATGAAAATAATTATTAATTATTAAAGTAAAATTGACTAATGAAAGAAGGAAAACCAAATTGATAAATTAATGATAGAGAACTTAAAATTAGTTTAGTATGAGTGAGAGGAAAACAGAAAAGTTTAACATTTTTTAATTTAATTAATATAATTTTAATATATATATATATATATATATATATATATATATATATATATATATATATATATATATATATATATATATATATATATATATATATATATATATATATTATTTCAAATTTTTGATAATATATTATTCTTCATACCCTTAAAATTATTCTTTATTTAAATTTCAATATAGTGTAAATAAGGAAAATTTTAAATTCAATTTTTTAAGCATATATATTAGAGAGGGAATATTTCCTCACAAAAATATTTAACACGTTTATGAAGAGATTTGTGAAGGAAATATTAGTGAAAAATAAATATTTTCTCTAACTCCCTCACTAAGTTTAAATTTGTGACGGAATTTGTAAGAGAATTTTTATAATGGATTAATTATCTCACAACTTTCTTCATTTTCTTCATTAATATTTACGCAAGTCCCATTAATCATGTATATAATTTTTCCTCCCTAAATTTATTGCAATTAGTAAAGAATTTACTTCCTTCAACAAATTTTTCTCTCTAAATTATTTTTTTAATAGTGTTAGTTCGACAAAAGTTGTACACACTCAAATTATGTTCCAAGTATATTGTTAAACAAGTATATTGTTAAAATATATTTTGTTTAATTTTGTTTAATTCATTAGCTTGTAATCTAAGTTAATTTAATAATCTTTAAATAAATTAACTCTCAGAATGTTCTAAAAAGTTATTATTATTATTATTATTATTATTATTATTATTATTATTATTATTTAATAATCTATAAATAAATTAACTCTCAGAATATTCTAAAAAGTTATTATTATTATTATTATTATTATTATTATTATTATTATTATTATTATTATTATTATTATTATTATTATTCACTTCTATTAAATAAGTGAATAATAAAATAATTATAGTCAATTTTAATTTTTTTCTTCTTCCTTTTTTCTCTTTTTTTGAAAAATTTAATAGATTTTTTATATTTATTCAAAAAACTTATTTTTTTTATATTTTGATTTATTCTGCCCAGCTCTAGGAAGACTGGTGCACCATAACATGGTAAGCCATGAAGACCGCTATTCTGCACCGATATGATTTTAATCATTATTCATTCCTTGCATATTATTAACTTGAGCGTTAAAAAACGCTAACGGTATAGATTCATCGCATACAACCACACCAAAACAGCACGCATCACAACAGCGATTCTAAAACAGGACAAGGCATATTTTAAGATATTTATCAAAATCAACTAACCGTCAAAATCTTAATTGAAAAGATAAAGAAGAAAAAAATCTACTTAGATGTGCAGAATATCTATGTCTGAAATTTGCTTCCAATAACCTAATTACATTAGGAGTACATTGTTTAAATATTAAAACAAGACACTCTTAACACAAATTTATGAATTCAAAATCATGGATATATCACTCGAGTGAGGAATCAACATTATTAACTGATCGAGAGAAAGCCAACACATCATTAGGATCTTGAGCTTTTTCACCATTTGAAATTATGCTGTCACAAATAATCCTTTTGGACACTTTGTCACACTCTAATTCCCTTTTACATCTATCATCATTGATTTGGTTATCAATAATCTTCTTCTCCGATATTCCTCTTGTTGTGTTATCTTTTTCTACTTTCTCTTTCCTTTCTTTATGTGCCTCCATTAACCTTAACCTTTGTTGTTAATAGTAAACTACACAACAATAACATGCATCAATATATATAATCGCCAGGTTATATAAGTATCTATGAATTTCTATATGATTTTTTGAATGATCATTTATATGAATATATGCATGTACACATGTCAAGTATTGGAACGTTGAAGCTGCTATGTGTCTCTTGTTTGTTTGTTTGTTTTCATGGTTACACACCTAAAGTCTCGAGTTCAACGATTATATGTTGGGTTGTGAAAGAACAAGACATAATTACACATGTGAAATCCTTTGAATGATGAATATACTACGTGTCTCTTCCCTTATTTTAGTAGGAAGGTGATAATCACACGTGTAGCCACTTGTTGACATTATAATGTGGATAAGAGAGTGACTCATCTTGACATCAAAACTATATATATATATATATATATATATATATATATATATATATATATATATATATATATATATATATATATATATATATATATATATATATATATATATATATATATATATATATATATATATATATATATATATATATATATATATATATATATATATATATATATATATATATATATATATATATATATATATATATATAATCACATTTTTTGGAAAAATCAACTATCAGTTTATTATTTAAAATCAATTGCATTGCATGTATTTCTTAATTAAATCGTTATTTCCCTACAAATTATTTATGCTAAAAGCTATTTAAGTAATATTATTTTTTTAAATTTTTATTTTCTATAAAAATATGACATGTGGCATTTATTTTTTAATTATTTACTATAAAAATATGACATGCGGCATATATTTTATGCTATAAAATTATTTAAGTAATAAAAATATTATTTTAATTAAATATTTATAAAATAAAATAAAATAATAATAAAATGAAAGAGGTATGTAAACCACCATATAAAGGTTAATGAAAAAGAAGTTGAGATTTAAAATAAAAACTGAAAAGAGTATAATTGGAACAAAAATAGGTTATACCAAAAACAAGTTTTGCCTTTTAATTAAATTATTTATAAAATTAAAAAGATAGTAAAATGAAAGAGATATGTAAACTACCATATAAAGGTTAATGAAAAAGAGGGTGCGATTTAAAACAAAAATTAAAAAGGGTATAATTGGAACAAAAATAGGCTACACCAAAAGTAAGTTTTGCCTTTATATACATGTATAAATTATCACTACAAATATTAATAACTTATTTTATAATTTTAATAAAATTACAATTTATTTTATTTCACAGACTACTATCAACACAATATCTCAAAGTTTTCTTTTTCTTTTTGTAAGATTATTTAATATGATTAAATTTATATTATTATTTATTTTACAACTAAGTAAATCATTTTAAATTATGCATGTGTATCTAAATACATTTTATATTGTATCTGTGAGATATTGGATCGAACTCTAGTATGGTCGAAGTCTGTTCGCGAGTAATGCGTGTCGTAGTCGAAGTTTGTTCTAACATGCATTAGTCAATATTGCTAGCTTTGTTAGCATGTTGAATTGGGTCTTACTTGTAAGCCCAATTGTTTAAGTTAGCTTGTACCCTAAGTTAGCTTGTAATGGATAATTGTTAAAAAGCCCATTAGGTTAGTGTGTTAGTTCTCTTATAAATAGCATGCTAGTCTCTCATCTTGGTATAAGGAAAAATAGGAAGATAAAATCCTAATTTCAAAAGAGAGAGGTTATTTTTTTATTCTTTTATACTTGTAATCTTGTTTCTAAGAGAAAGGGAAAGAATAGCAATTTATAATCAATCCTTGTTGTTTCTTGTTGTTTTACCTTATTTTCTTTGTTAACCCTAACCCTTGTGTGTTTCTTGATCATAAAAAAAATCGTTTATATTTTGTTTCAAGACATCTAATTCACAACAAATTGGTGTGGTGGGCATGGAGAAGATGCCTTCAACAAAGTATGAGATTGAAAAGTTCACCGGAGTGAACGACTTCAGTCTGTGACGCTTGAAGATGAAAGCCCTACTGGTTCAACAAGGTTGTTTGAAAGCGTTGAAGGGAGAGGCAACCATGGACGTTATGTTAACGGAAAAATAAAAGATGGGCATGATTGAGAAAGCCCACAACGCAATATTGTTGAGTCTTGGTGATAAGGTTCTTCGACAGGTATCAAAGGAAACTACAGCATCGGGATTATGACTGAAACTTGAAAGTTTGTACATGACCAAATCTCTGGTGAATCGACTCTATCTGAAGTAAGTTATGTATTCATTCAAGATGAGTGAAGACAAAGTGTTGACTGAGTAGTTGGATATGTTCAACAAGCTGATTCTTGATCTTAAAAATATTGATGTGAAGATCGATGATGAAGATCAAGCACTGTTGCTGTTGTGTGCTTTGCTCAGAACACATGTTGATGCTGAATTGCGTATCTCAGATGAAGTCAAAGAAGACGTAGAAGATGTTGTCGAAGATGAAGAGACTGATAATGACTACCGGCTAGCAAGAGACAAATCGAGGAGAGTCATTAAGCCACCTCAGAGACTTGGATATGCAGATGTTATAGCTTATGCCTTAATCTCTACAAGTGAGGTTCTAGATGAAGAACCTAGAGACTATAAGGAAGTTATGAGGAGTTGAAAGAAGACTGAATAGATGAAGGTCATAAAGGATGAGATGAAATATCTTCATGATAACAATACCTGAGAACTGATCAAGAAACCTGCTGGAGTTCAGCTGTAAATGGATTTTCAAAGTTAAGGAAGGAATCGAAGGAGTGACGTCGAAGAGAAACAAGGCTAGATTGGTTGTTAAGGGGTTCACTCAGAAAGAAGGTTTCGATTTTAATGATGTGTTCTCTCCTGTTGTGAAGCACAGATCCATTCGAATGTTGCTTGCCATAGTGTCACAGTTCGACCTTGAACTGGAACAGATGAATGTGAATACTGCATTGTTATATGGTGATCTAGATGAAACAACCCTTATGAGGCAACCTGAAGGGTATGTCAAAAAAGAGAACGAAGATTATGTGTGCAAGCTGAATAGATCCTTATATGGACTAAAACAATCTCCTCGACAGTGGAATAGGAGGTTCGACAAATTCATGGCACGCATAAGTTTCATTAGAAGTCAGTTCGACCACTGTGTTTACTTCAGATTTCGACCTGGTAATTCATTTGTTATTTTGTTGGTTTATATGGATGATATTCTAATAGCAAGCAACAATGTCAAAGATATAATGAGGCTGAAGGCTAAACTCAATAAGGAGTTCAACATGAAGGATCTAAGAGTTGCATCCAGGATTTTTGGGATTGACATCCGAAGAGATAGAAAACAATCAAAATTATGTTTATCTCAAGAGGCATACCTACGGAAGATTCTCGAAAAGTTTGGTATGTCAAATTCAAAGCCAGTTGTGACTCCGACAAACCCCCAATTCAAGATGAGAATAGATCAGTGTCCTAACACTGATGTCGAAAAAACTTATATGAATAGCATTCCATATTCTAATGTAGTGGGTTCTTTGATGTATGATATGGTATATACTAGACCCGACATAGCATATGCAGTAAGTCTTGTAAGCAGGTACATGGTGAATCCTGGAAAGGCTCACTGGCAAGCATTGAAGTGGATTCTAAGGTATATAAATGGGTCTCTAAATAGAGTCCTAATTTATGGTGGAGCCTTGGGTGAACATAGTAAAGCAGCAATCAAAGGATATGTCGACTCTAATTATGCAGGTTGTATGAATTCCAAAAAATCTATTTCTAGATATGTGTTCACTATGTTTGGGACAACAATCAGTTGAAAAGCTACACTTTAGAAGGTCGTTACCTTATCTACCACTGAAGTGGAATATATCTCCCTAACTGAAGTTGTGAAGGAAACATTGTGGCTTGAAGGTTTTGCAAAGAAGCTGAAACTTCAAGGTCAAGTTATCACTGTTAAATGTGATAGTCAAAGTAAAATACACTTGTCGAAGAATTCAGCCTATCATGAGCGAACCAAACATATTGATGTGACGCTGCATTTTCTCAGAGGGGTAATCGAGCATGGAGAAGTCCAAGTACTGAAGGTTTTGACAGATTATAATTTTGTTGATATGATCACCAAGAAGTTGCCTTGTTGCAAGTTTTTCCACTGTATATAGTTGATAAGACTGCATGAAGAAATCTAGGTTCTTAATGTTATAGAGTTAGATCCAAGGTGGAGATTTGTGAGATATTGAATTGAACTCTAGTATGGTCGAAGTCTGTTCGCGAGTAATGCGTGTTGTAGTTGAACTTTGTTCTAACATGCATTAGTCAATATTGCTAGGTTTGTTAGCATGTTGAATTGAGTATTGCTTGTAAGCCTAATTATTTAAGTTAGCTTGTACCCTAAGTTAACTTGTAATTGATAATTGTTAAAAAGCCCATTAGGTTAGTGTGTTAGTTCTCTTATAAATATCATGCTAGTCTCTCGTCTTAGTATAAGGAAAAATAAGAAGATAAAATCCTAATTTTAATAGAGAGAGTGAGAGAGAGTGAGAGGTTATTTTGTTATTCTTGTATACTTGTAATCTTGTTTCTAAGAGAAAGGAAAGAACAATAGTTTATAACCAATCCTTGTTGTTTCTTGTTGTTTTACCTTGATTTCTTTGTTAACCCTAACTCTTGTGTGCTTCTTGATCATAAAGAAACCGTTTATATTTTGTTTTAAGACATCTGATTCACAACAGTATCAATTTACTTTTTTATCTCAGATGCCATTATCATCACAATGTCTATTTTATTTTAATCAACAATTTATCTTGATTTAAAAGAATTGTTTATTTTCATCTTTTTGTATGATTATTTAATAGAATTAAGTTTATATAATTATGTTTCATTTTATAATTAAGTAACTAATTTCAAATTTACATATGTAAATAAATACATTTTATATTATATCAAATAATATATTATATCAAATAAACTTTCTATTTCATAAGCTACTATTAACACACTATATATTTTATTTTAATTAACAATTATTTTT